AATGGTGTTCAATGATAATTGAACTTCAGGATACAGAACTTAAAAGAACCACTATAAACATCATCAAAGAAGTCAAGAGTTTTATAGAAGATATGAACAAACACCTCAATGAACTTAAAGAGGACAAGAACAAACTTCCAAGAGGTACTTAAGAAAACACATTTTGTTTATTTTTAATGGAATTCTTCTCACCTTCAAGGATAAGCATAAATTTAAAGTAAAAAAACAAAACTGAAAAAAATATTCAAAGCAATGTCACTACCCTAACATCTTTCAAAATAGACTGCCAACCATAATTAATCATACGATATTAAAAAAGGACAACTCATTCTAATCAAGGGTACAGTTAACCAAAAAAGGTATTACTATGCTAAGTATATACCAAACACTGGCACACCATTTCATAAAAAACATTTTACCAGACTTCAAGACACAGATTAACTCAAACTCATTAACAGTAGGTGTTTTCAACAAAACTAGTTTCTCAAATAGATAGGTTATCTGAAAAAGAACATAAACAGAAATATCTGAATTAAACGGCCCTATACATGAAACAGGTCTAACATATCTACAGAATAGTCAACCCAACTCAAAGATATACATTCCACTCAGCAGTCCACGGAAGCTTTTCTAAAATGAATCACATATTAGAACACACACACACACACACACACACACACGCACACACAAATCTTAACAAGTTTAGGAAAATTGAAATAACTCAATGTATACTATATGGCTATAAAGCCTTGAAGTTTAAAATTAGCAGACAACAAATTTCTAGAAATCACTTGAATTTATGCAAAATGCAATAATACATTATTGAATGATGACTGAGTGAAAGAAGAAATACATTTTTAAAAATCTTGGAATAATGGAAGAGGAAAACACAACGCAACAAAATCGCAGGGACAAATTAAAAGCAGTTCTAAGAAGGAAAGTTTCAATTCTAAGCACCCACATTCAAAAAATCAGGAAGAGCTCACTTGTGTAGCAATTTCCTCATGGAATAAAATATTGTATCCTGCAGGGAAGCTCTTTAAGACTCAGCATGTTAAAATAGGAAGTGGAACAACAGGATGTTCTAAGGAGAGGTGAAACATTCGTCCTGCGGGGAAGCTGTTGAATATTAGAAGTAAACAACTAAATAGCTTCAGGAAGTCACCTAAACTGGTAAATTTCACTAGGCCCCTCTAAGAAACACAGACCAGGGAAGGTAGCTACATAGAAGAAGCAGAGATCAGCCGTTACCTAGATGTGGTTCACAGTTACCTGTATGAGGCAGTCTCCAACCTACTGCTGCCTGGAAATTATGTAAAGAACTTCAGGTTTCCAGCTTTTGTGAGCAATAACCCATTCTGGGGTTGGCTTTTTTTAAACTCATTTCTGCTTCAGTAAAAGTTATTCAGTAAATAACCTTTCAGCAAATAAATAGGTCATTCCTATGAGTAACCCCAATTACCAAGTTTGTGGTATCCTCAATTTTTTTTTTTTTTTTTTTTGGTGCATTTTTGTTTCCATGTCTAGAGTGACTAGATAGTTGTTCTTGTTTCCCCAGGAATAGTATCGCAGAACAAGCACAGAAAATTACTTAATGATGCCATTCAAGAATTTGGAAAATAAAAACAAGCCTAACTCTTAGACAGTAGATGGGAAGAAAAAATAAAACCCAGAGCAGAAATTGGTCCAAATAGAAACAGAAAAAGAATGAGTGAACAAATTTGAGAGCTGCTTTATTGAAAGAAACAAGATCAACAGACCCAATTAACCCAATTAACTGGAAGAAAGAAAGATGTGACCCAAATTAACAAAATTGGTGATACCTATGGAAACATTGCAAAAAAAAAAAAAAAAAACTAAAGAAAGGGCATTATAAAAAGACACTTTAAAAACTTAATATTCCATTAAGTTCGAAATCTAAAAGAAACAGGAAATTTTCTAGGTTCACCCAAATCACCCAAGTTAGACAAAGATGAAATTCCCATTCTAAGCAGACCCATATAAAACAAAAAGTTTAAAACAATAATTAAAAGCCTTTCAACGGAAAATGCTCAGATCCAGACTAATTCACAGCAGATATCTACCAGATTTTCAAAGAAGAACTACAACCAATACTTCTTAAATTATTAAAAAAAAAATAAAGAAAAAAAAGAAGGGAGAAAGAGAAAAAGAAAGAAAGACAAAGAGGACTTCTAAACACCACTGGATCCCATATGAATCTAATACCCAAACCAAATATAAACACAACATCGATAACAACAGAAGGAAAGAAAAGAAAGAGACACACAAACAAAGAAAACACTAGAGGCCAATACCCCTGATAAACCCAGATGCAAAAATTCTCAGTAAAGTTCTAAGAAAAAGAATACAGGTATATATCAAAAAGATTATCCACCAATAATACTCTAGACATCTGTTAGGTCCATTAAATATGATGTAATTTAATTCCAGTGTGATGAAAATTTAATTCCAATGTTTCTTTGTTGTTGTTATTTTTCAAATACATTTTAATTAAAACAGAATTATATCACTTTTTAACCTTTCTTTTCCTCCCTCAAGACCCTTCAGGTATCCTACCTCCAACCTCTCCCAAGCCCTCAAACTCTCAAATTGATAGCCTCTTTTTCTTTTTAATATATATATATTAATTCCTCTTTTTCATATATATATATCCACCACTATCAAGCTGACTTTCTTGAGAACAACTTTTCATTAGGAGCCTCACCTCAATTGATGCATCTACTGTTGTATCTACTACTGTTCAGCACCTATGCATAAAGCTCAGGGAACATTGAAAGAAAGAGCTGAAAGTTGTAAGAGCCAGAAGCCAAGGTGAGGCAAGATTGGGAAAGTGCTTCCATAAAAATCTCAAAAATATGGTCACCTAACTAGGACCAGCTTAACAACAACAGCAGTCGATATACCAATATAAATAGTGGAAATCTCACAAGGCCCCACACCTAGCTGAAGAACTACAGACAATCACTGTCTGCTGAGAGATGTTCTCCAGGGATGAGCCCTCTGATAGGTTATGTAGTCAGCTCAAAATTCAGGCATATAAACAACACTAAATGGACTCAGTAACTGTGTGTGTGTGTGTGTGTGTGTGTGTGTGTGTGTGTGTGTGTGTGTAACAAATAAATAATTACTAAGAAGTCATAAATTTGAAAGAGAACTGGGTAGACACAGAAAGAATTAGAGGGAGAGAGCAAGGGATAGAAATGACATAATACAGTATTCATTTATGAGATACTAAAAATTATCACTGATTTATACTAAAAGAAAGCCTTTGTTAGGCATTTAATTTTTGTTTTCTAATTGGTTTTCTTTTTTTTTTTTTTTGAGGCTAGAAGATGCTATGATGAGGTAACATTTATTTGTGTTTATGAAACACGGAACAAAAAGGAATAATATAAATATCAGTTAAAAATCCTTTAATATGCTGGGCAGTGGTGGCACATGCCTTTAATCCCAGCACTCAGGAGGCAGAACCAGGCGGATCTCTGTGAGTTCGAGGCCAGCCTGGCCCACAGCGCAAGATCCAGGACAGGCACCAAAACTACACAGAGAAAACTTGTCTTAAAAACAAACAACAAAAAAATCCTTTAATTCATGGACTAAGTTATTACACAGATATAAGAAGTTGAGTATCACTAAAAATAAAATCAGGTTTAATTAATTAAAGAAAGCTGAAAACATTATTACATATTAGAAAATGGTTTCACTAAACATTTTCCTCCTGTTTAAATTTAATGCATTAATGGAAGAAACTGTGAATAAAGAATTGTTAAATTCTTACAAGCCTCATCTGAATGAGAAGTTAATGAGGATGTTAATTTTTTTCCAACATGGAGAAATGAATCTCAACAAACACAGAGCACCAAAACTACTCAATGTTTCAGAAAATCTATTAAACAAGTGATACCTATTCATTAATGTTTAAATCCCCTTCCATTTATTCACTCATGTGTCAACCAATGTTGAACAGCAAATATATGTTTTACTTCTGGCAATGCAACCATGGATAAGTACAAATCTACCTCACAAAACTTCTATTCTTGTAAAACATTCTCACAAGAAACTAATGAACATTAAACAACACCGAGATTTAGATTGTGGTAAGAGCTCTGTAGCAAAACTCTGGGCAAAGTGATGAAGATACCTCACAAAACCTATTATGTTAATTTGGCCAGAAAAGATCTCTCTGAGCTGCTGGGGATGCTGTGAATGTGTTGCTCTGATTGACTGAAAAATAAAATGCTGATTGGCCAGTAGCCAGACAGGAAGTATAGTATAGGCGGGATAAGCAGAGAAGAGAATTCTGGGAACAGGAAGGCTGAGTCAGGAGTCGCCAGACAGAGACAGAGGAAGCACAATGTGAAAGTACTGGTAAGCCACAAGCCACATGGCAACTTATAGATGGATAGAAATGGGTTAATTTAAGATATAAGAACTGGATAGCAAGAAGCCTGAGGCATTAGGCCAAACAGTTTAAATAATATAAGTGTCTGTGTGTTTATTTGGGTCTGAGTGGCTGCAGGGCCAGGATGGACTGGAGATAACTCCAGCAACACTGAGATATGTGATGTCTGCAAAGAGATGGATGGCCCAAAGGGTACAGCAACATGATGCATAGCATGCCAAAATAGGGCATAGGGAGGGCAAACGCAGAGGCTGGGAGATAAAGATGGTGGCATGCAGGACACAGAATCAAGGCAGAAGGGAATCCAAGAGAAGCTTCAGAATGGTAGATGACAGACATCAGCAACCCCAGGGGGCTGTGCTAGAGGAGTGGAATCTTAAAAGTACATCTAGCCCTTAACCAATTTCTTCCTTCTTGAAATGTTTTCTAAAAAGATGCCTTTTAGAAAGATCAGTGGTATCCCTGGGAGGCCTGCTCTTTCCTGAAGGGAAAGGGGGAGGATGTGGATCGGGGTGGGGGGTTGGGGGGCAACCACAGACATAGGGGTGGGGGAAGGACTGGAAGAGTGGAAGGAGGGTAAACTGTGCTTGGGATGCATTGTATAAGAGAAGAATACATTTACAAAAGAGAAAGACCAAATGTGCTTACTCACACAGAAGCTCTGCTCAGCTTCCTGTGAGGAAGCCACCAACAGAGAGGACTGCTGAACGAGAAGCCAGATCCAGAAATCAGGAAAAAAACAAGTAAGCGCCTGGTATTAAATGTGCTTCATATGTGTGCAGAAGTGGGGAGTGTATGGTCCTGTTGTTCCTCCTGAACCTCAGGCATCTTAAGCTCTGTTTTCTCTGAAATCCAGCAGTAGGTATGATCAAAGTAGTAAAAAAAAAAAAAAAATCTAATTTTCAAAGAAACTTAGTGTCACAGCATAAGTTTAAAATACAACTGGATAGATTTTCTGTATACCGAGATACTGGTGGTATCTCAGTATTTTAGAATATTTGTTGTTGTTCTTTTTAAATTGTTTCGTTTTCATCTGAACATTTGAAATCTTTCATGTGATATCCACAGCAACCACTAGAGGGAAAACTTCCACTGAAGAAAGTAATTTTAAAATGTTGACTTGTTTGATAAGCTTTAAAATTTCAAAAACAGTGATGTATTCAAGATGAGCGACTGTGAAAAGCCTACCAGGAATTGACATGCATTTTCAAATTATTCCCAATATCTTCTAGCATTTGTATTATAATATATATTTCACAAAGGCTTTTATAGCCATTGCTTCATTTGTTTTTCAATATGAGTGACTAGTACAGCAGAACTTATCATACCATAGTAATAATGAACATACATTATTTGTATAAAATATCAATTGTTTAACCAAAGCTCTCTAACAGCTTCATTGTTCAGTATTACAACTGAGGCATGAGTATTTTCTTTTCAAGTGCACTGTATTTTCTATTCTATTTAACAGGTTTTTATTTTCTTTTGTTTTATTGGTGGATTTTTATATGTTTCTAGAACAAACAAAAAGTATTGCCTGGGTTTCTCATCACATCATATATTTTTCTCAAAATCCTTGGCACATAATATACATTTGGGTAACTGCTAAGTGTATGAATACATTAATATATGGATAGGAAGAATGGAGCTGTGCCCTTTCTTGGCAACACTACTGCTAACACAGAAGAACCTTGTGTTTGGGGTCACTGTTAACTTCCCAACTGCACCTGTTTCAAAGTTAGTAACCATAGGAGTGCCTGAAGCAGTTACTATGAAAAGGAGTTATTCTCTGTGACTCCTTCTCAAATATCATGGCATCATCCCATGCTGTGGACTAAATATTTATGAGGCCCCTCACTTATACGTTGATGTTATATTTCCCATTGTGACAATAAAAGTTGCCAGGATTTGGGGATGTATATAATTAAGATAAGAAGGCATGATGTGTAGGCATGACTAGAATAGGTTACCTCGTGTGAAAAACACCAGTAAAGTGATTTTTCATTGTGTCTGCCATGTAGGATGTAATGAGAAGACAACCACTCTGGAAGAGAGGAGTCACCAAAAGCCAGACTACACCAGCCTCTTGGTCTCTGAAGCCTAGTCCACAGAACTGTGGTAATGAAGCCTAGTCCACAGAACTGTGAGAATGACGCCTAGTCCGCAGAACTGTGAGAATGAAACCTGGTCCACAGAACTGTGAGAATTAGGTATCTGCTGTTTAAGTCACCCAGACTCTGGTTGGATTTAGCTATAAATTCTTTCAGGTGTTAACTTCCTCAGACTAATGAGGCCTTTTGTTGTTGGTCTTCCAACAAAGCTGCATTTGGTGACCTAAGGCTAGGAATGAGGCTCTGGAAATCTCTTCCCCACAATGAAACCGCTTGCTATACAGCTCAGGAACCAGGCAGCAGCAACTAAAGTGAGTCCCAATTCAAAATTCCACATGAATGACCCTCACATAGCTTGACAGATTTTCCAAGTAAGTACTCGGCAAAAGCAATTACTAGTGGATAATATGATTACAAAGAATTTTTCTTTCTTTTTTGCTTTTCTGTATTTTTTCTTGTTTATAATGAGAAAATTAGGTTTTTTTTTTTAAATAAGAAAAATGATGCTTCTTTAAAATTAAAAGTCCAGGGATAGAAATTGTTCTATAGCTCACCTTAAAATGACATTTAAGTATGCTTGGCAAACATTTTGTATAAACATAGTTGTTTATCTTCAATTTGAGAAATGAATTCATTAGGCACTATCCAGCTGAGTGGTACCTAACACTCCCTTTCTCCTCCTACCCAGACTTGTCCGCAGAAAGGAATGCCTTGGAACCAATAGAGAAATGAGGGTGTATCTGTTAGCTGATTCTCCTAGAATCCATCAGCAATTTGATTTTAAATGCAGGAGGAAGATTAATTCAAGGCGATAGTCCTTAACAGTAACTTCTCATTCTCCAGATTCAGAACATTCCTGGAAGAGGTGGTAGTGTACACAGCTTGCTTTAAAATTATTTGATTTCCTGTATTAAGATAGTTGGATGAAATAAAAACTAGAAGACTTTTACAGGTATCTGATAAGAAAAATATCTAGAGCTTTTACAAATCTCTACACAAAATAAAATTCTTAGTATTAAAACAATATATAAGCACCAAAATGACAAATTATTTAGTTAAGAAAAGAAGGAAAAATGTCATTGAAAAAATCTTAGCACATACAAAATTTATCATTAAGAAAAACAATTTATTTTATAATAAAAACAAGGGTGGGGATTCAATATATTGTGACAAATATAGTAACATATTAGCTTTATATAATATTTTAATATTTTACAAATGCATATACCTGATTATACTAGAAGAAAAATAGTAAAATCATATTTGTTGAAATTCTGAACATTCCAATGAGATATAGTAAGTTTTTAAAGATTTATATTCATTTTAATGAGTTTATAAAAGCTAAAATAAATTGCAAGTATCCTTGACACTTAAGATAAAAAGAATTACAAACATGTAACAATATGCCCTATAAAAGAAGTAATCTTGTGATATTAAAATTAACATGTAATACTTTATTATTTTATATGGATTTTTAACTGGGAAAACTGAACAGGAGAAAAAGTATTACCTATTATTTGTTCTCTGAATTCAGAACTGAAGATGGAGATCAAACATTACAAACAGGTGGTGATGACCATGATGTCCAAACCACGAGGCCCTAATCAGATGGGAAAAGGATGCGACAGACAGAGTTGCAAGGGAAATGGCCCTTTTCTGGAATGTACCTTTACTCTTCTATTAACTAATCAACTAACTTCCTGAAGCACCAATGTCCTTAATTAGAAAGGGGCAGATACCACCTACCTCGTTTGAAAGGTTGTTGAAATGATGAATGGTTATGCATTGGAAACATCTAAAATATACATGGAGAATAAGTAGAAACTGACGACAGCTATGAATTAATTACAGGTATTTTCTAGGGAAAAAAAAGTACCCAGTTCCACTAATAAAACATGTACCTTTATATAAGTCAAGGTTTAACTGAGACAAATTAGTAAACTACTTCTTAATATTAGACTTCAATCATTGGAGCTAAAATATCATGAAAGCAAATTTTTAAGTCAAAGGGAATATAATCCTTAAGGAGCTATGAGGAGGTTTGCTTCTGCATATTTGTTGTTAGTACAGTAAAGTTAGATGACAGGAATCCAAGCATCGGGGTTCTGAAAGCATAATGGATTCCCACAGATGACTTTAGTGTAAGGCAATGGATGCAAAATGGATGCCCCCTGAGGAACTGAAGGGAGGTGACATTCAATTATTTCCTTAGCTATTCACTGTGACAAAGGAGCTGAGGCTACTTGGTTGCCTCTGCCTTTTCAGTATAATAATGGTTCTGAGCAAAAAATTAAAACTCTTCAATCCAAGGACCAACTAGAAATATTAGGAAGTATTAATCACTTCACACATTCCACAGATATTTTTCTTGCACGCAAATATTTGTATAAGTAGCTTCCCAGCAACCGTGAGAGCATGTATTAAATGGATAAGTAGTGGAGTGTGGTAACTCTCATTTATAATACCAGCATTTAAGAGATGAAGACAGGAGGAATTTCTTGAGTTTGGATTGAGCCTGGGCTATGTGGTGAGTTCAAAACTAGCTGGGCTAGGAGAGGGAAGTGGGATTAACAACACTAAGGATATTTGAAAAAGCCATAAATAATCATATTATTTTATATTTACCTAAAATTACATATAATGCATATAAGCATTTATGTATACATATGTATATAGTTAAAAGAAAGCTATGTCTTTTGGGGGTGATAATGCTTTCCCCAATAGCCATAGATTATCTTACAAAAAACATACAATTAGGCAAGAGAAATTTTCTTTCAAATTGTTGGTGGGGGAGTCCAAGAGAATCCCAAACAATATAGGCTATTGTGTGTTTTCCTTGGTTGCCTCCTAGAAATTGAAGTTAAGTCACTATTGCTGAAGACACCATGTACACTGGACAAAGGACTTAGAAGAATATAGCTGGATTTCACCTAAAAGTATAAAAGTCCCCACCCAGAGGACTAGTTTCTAGCACTGGAGGGTGTTATGCAAGCTGCTACGGGAGAGAAGCAATCAGTAGTTCCAGCTAGCTGTAATACATATGAACCACAACAATGTCCAGAACTGAAAGACACCCCTAAAGCTGCAATGATACTTGTATCTTGATGATAATTGTGGTGGTTTGAAAGAAAAAGACCCCCAAAGGGAATGACACTCTTCAGAGGTGTAGCCTTAATGGAGTAGGTATGGTCTTGTTGAAGGACATGTGTCACTGTGGAGGCAGGCTTTGAGGTCTCATATATGCTCAAGATACTGCCCAGTGTTTCAGACCACTTCCTGTTGTCTGCCTATCAAGAGGTTAGACTCTCAGCTGCAGTACCACGTCTGCCTGCACACCACCATGTCACACCATCATGGTAATGAACTAAACATCTGAAAATGTAAGCCACCCCAATTAAATGTTTTCCTTTATAAGAGATGCTGTGGTCATGGTGTCTCTTCACAACAATAGAAACCCAAGACAGTAACCAACAGCTATCTAATTTGATTTAAGGGCTCCTCAACAGGAGGGAAATCATGCCTGGTACTGGAAATCTGTCTTAGAGGAAAACCTTACTACTCCGACTTTACATAAGTATCATACCTAACTGTGTTGTAAATACTTATCTTTAGTTTCTTTACTGAAAATAGAATTTTTTTCTCATATATAATGATTACAGTTTCATATCACTCAAAGTCTCCCGAACTCTACTGCTCCAAAACTTGAAACCATAATTTATATGCAAAGGACCTATGGGGTAAAAAATAAAATAAATAAATTTATTTTTATTTTTATTCATTTATTAATTAAAATAAATAATTTATTTAATAAATAAATAATACAACATTTTTAAAAGTCCTAACACAACATCATCTTATCTTTAAATCCACAAATTAAGTGTAGCTCTTATCTGTCATCAATGAGACTTCTCTTTGTAGCAGATGGGGAGCATTACAGAAAGTCACAACTAGTCCAAAATGTAAAGAACAACTGATCTCGGAACCCCCACCCCCACCTGATACAGCTACAGCAGAACCTCCAACACAAGGTTCCGGGAACATCATGAAAGAAGGGACAGAAAGACTGGAAGAGTCAGAGAACCAGAAAATCTGTTTTGAGATTGCACCGCCTAGATGATACAGAAGCTTCACACATGGTATCATAACAATACAGCTGCCTAAACAAGACCCGAAGACATACACCACCAACAGCCATGCTAACATGTAACATACAGCCCAGCCACAGACAAAGAATTAAGCCATGAAGGAATGCTAAGAGGAAGACTGGGAGAAACATTCCTCCCTTGGGATGAGTTCCCTAATTGGTTATCCAATACCAAGTAGTCAGGCCTGAAAATGTGTATAAACAAGCAACTCTAAAAGGACTCAACAGGTTTATTTATATAATTATGCACATGTATGCATATGGTTGCTCTTCCACAGGACATGGGTTTAATTTCCAGCACTCATATGGTTCCTCAGAGCTATCTAAAGCTCTGATGCCCTCTCCTGACTTTTATGGGTAGCAGACATACAAGTGGTGCATAGACACACATGCAAGCAAAACATGCATATACACAAAAGAAAAAATTTTAATTAATAATATATAAATATAAATGAATGACCAGCCATTTTGTTCACTAGTAAGTGCAATACTGTTAGTGTATGATAGGCAAAGGGCTGGAGAGATGGCTCAAATGTTAAGAGCACTGGCTGATCTTTCAGAGAACCCAGGTTCAGTTCTCAGAGCAGTTCACTGACATCTGTAACTCCAGTCCCAGGGAATCTACTGCCTAATGGACAAAGAGTAAATAAATCACCTTGTTACAAGACTTGCATAACAGGATGATTCTGATCCCCCCCCCCCAACCAAGAATAGAGCATGCTTTTAAAATATCTATAATCCTAAATTGTGCAAAATAAAAGGGCTATCAAAAGTAGACAAATTTCTTCTACATTAAAATAGTCACAGGATTGTAGTTTTTCAGTGACAAACCTCTATATATACTCTGTTGAAATTCTTGACAACTCCCACAGAGAAACAGTCTCAGGAAGCATTAATCTGTGCAATAAATGAAAGTGGCTCAGGAGAAAGCAATTCCAGAAACCTAAATTATATCTATTTTAAGATATGTAGCATGAAGGGTTAGGAGTATGCAGCCAATTGTCTGCAAAGCTATTTATGCCAGATATTTCCCTTAACTCTCATTATTCTTAGTTTATATCGTATCATTGTTTTTTTATTATTATGATGATGTACTGTACAGCTTTGAGGCCAATGGGACACATGGAAGACTTGTACTGTATATTCTACCACAGTGACTGTTAAAATGGAATTCGAATATTAACCCAGTTGTCTTTTCAAACATTATTTAACAGTCATCCTAAACAC